TTAAACTTCTGCATTTATATTCTGCATTTTACATTCTCTGCATTTAATTTAGTAGTCCTGCTACTGCTTACTTTCCTTTCAGTCTTTATTTTTCTTCCTTGATCCACTTTGGGTTATTTGGTATCAGAGCCTGATGGGGAAGTAGGAATATATTTATGATCTATTATAACTATGTTCGTCTGGATCTAGATCTTTAATTTATGATGTACAATTAATTTTTCTGAAATATCATTATTGGAAGCACAGCAGTTCTTAGTTTCTTTTAGATGGGGCTGCAGCAGTAAGTCTCGTGTGTGTGTTAAGGACAGTAAGGCTGATTCGACAATGTTATATTCAAAAGAAAAGAAAGAACGTAAGAACATGGTGGCTATAGTGAAAATAGTTCAATCTTTGTAAATTTGTTAAAAAAAAAATCCACAAATAACCAAATCTAGAAGGAAAAAGTTGTAAAAAATCTAACAGTATATGTTTTTATAGAACCAAATAAGGGTGATGAATCGGAAGTTTATTTTTATGATGTCTAAACTTCTTCACTCCAGCTCTAGCTCTTCATCCTCTCCTACAAAAGACCACTATATATATATAAAATTCAATTTCATACTATAAATAAAATTGTTTATTATTAAATTAAATTTTTAACTAGAGTTGAATATAAATTAAAGTTTAAAACAAATAACTATTAAGTATTACATATACACCTTAAATCACCATTTACAATAAGATTTGTCAAAGTATTATATATTCTAATAAAAATTCAATTAATATTATTACATTCCTCAAAATAAACTAATTTTAACAGAACAAATATCTTTCTTTTAATCCATTGCGAGTATGATCCTAGAATGAATTTATTTTCTTTTATCTCTTCAATACCTGACAATGCTTATAGGGGTGAGCATCCTCCGCCCTACTAAATTTTTATTTTATAATACAGTCAAAGTAATGCAGAAAATATTTTCTAATACATCATGCTTCAAAATAGAAATAATTATAGAACAATTCTAACCAAACAGAGAATATTCATATACATTATTTCACACTCAATCATATACACTTATTTTATCCTTGAACTCATGCCACTTTGTTTATTTCTATTTTGAATTACTCACCAAATAACAGTACTCTAAGTACTCATGAGCCCCTAAATTGCTTCCAACATGCTTTCCTTAATTTTGAAGGACTAATGTTAGTATGAATAGTCGCCATCAGTCATCACACTCGAATACAACGTGTGCTTTATACGGCATTCATAGCGAAGGTATAGTCAAAGAGTCTAGTTAAGAAATGAGCATGAGGCTTGTGAAGACTTTCACTATCAATTGTGTACACATCAGCTATTAGCATTCATTATCCTCATTTCTTTCAAATTTCCCAAATTGCCTCCAAACTCTATACCTTCAATGTATCTCTTAACTATCCACATGGAAACGCAACAGTTGTGCACTAAAATCTTAATATTACATCAATCACTATTATCCTAATACATGTGTTACAATCACATTAATCAATATATTACAACATGTATTATAATTTCACCGGTCGATGTATAACAACACATATATTATACACCAATCAGTATTTTTTATGACACACGTATTAGTTATTCCTTTTCTTTTACTTACATTTTCTCAGCAATTCACAGATATTCTCATCAATTTCATTCATCTCTTTTTTCTATTCATTTCAATGAATCATGTCTAAATTAAAGCATACACGAACTTAGTCCACCTTACATATACTGAAAGAAAACATTTTAATAATGCTAGATCAATCAATTATGCATAATCAACTTTTCATGACAATCAAAGATCTCATTCAAGCCCATATTGATGAAATTAAAAAAAAAAACATATTATTAAACAATTCAATACAATGTGCTGAAGGTCAAACACATTTGGACTCATACCAATCATATAGTTCATAGTATCTTGCTAGAGATTACACTCTCTTGGTATTAATAAAGTCTTCTAGCCTAAAGTTTAACATTTTCTACTTTTTTCATTATTCAACACATATATTCACTACAAGAAATGTGTCACTTAATGCTGATTCATTAGCTGTGATTAGCAATAATTACCAACAAAATATTTAGAAAACAACATTTAACATTGGTTTTAGTAATTGCTGTAAAAAATTGCAGGATTTGGCAGTAGTTTTTAGTAACTGCCACAAGAAAAATATAGGATTTAGCGGCAGTTTTGCATAAACGTCAGAAAAAATACGAGATTTGGTGTCAGTTTAAAATAACAGAATATAAGAAACATCGTTCCACTCCCACCCATTTTCCATCACCCACTCAAAGCTACCATTCACCTCTGCCTTGGCCTTATTAAATTTCACCACCACCCTTCTATCTATCACTGCCACCACCTTCAAAGTGTCTTCTCCAATCGTGATAACTCCGATAATCCTCTACTATGCTTTTCACTTCCTCCAAAAATGACTCTCTTTTAATGACTCTACACTATAAATTATAAAATATATATGTTGTAATCTTAAAAAATAAATCGAATGTGAACCCAAATAGCAAAAGAAAGAAACAAGTAGAAAATAAGAACAGGAGAAAAGTATGGAAGCCAAATTTTAAAATAGAGCATTATTTCTTGCCCCGCAGTTTGAAATTTGAATTTTAAATTTTAGCGACAGTTCAAAACTGCCACTAAATAATTGCCGCAAATTTAAAAATTTAGCAACGAATCAAAACCGCCACAAATTTGGTCTTGTGTCACCAATTTTAATGTTAATTTTATAATCGCCGGAATAAAATTTAGAGGTGATAGAAACCACCATCAATCGTAAAAATTAACCGCCACAAATGAGAGATTTTTTTTTGTAGTGATTATTCAAAAATAATAATTTACAATATCAACAGTACATATATATAAACATAATGAATAACTTGCCTATGAAAATTTCTTAAAACTCATTCTTGCTCTTGGCTTCTACTATAAAACTTTGTCTTAAGTGATTCTTTAAATCAAAACCTTTTCATACCAAAAGTTCATTTTTAACGTTATACTTTTAAGAAAATACTTCAGATCTACTATTTGAAATAGGGTATTTTAGGTTTTTCAAACTAAAACATAAAAATAGAACTTAGGGTTTCAGATTTATTTCCCTTAACTAGAAATAGGTCTCTAAGACTACTTTCTTCACAAAATATACAGAAAAATGCAACATTATGATAGAATATACCACTCAAGGATCAAGATTTTTCCTAGATATCACAAAAGAGAGCACTTTTAAGAAGAGGAAAAACAGAGAAATAGAGCAGAATTTAGAGAATTAAACTCTAAGAAAATTATTTAGATCCAAAAGAAATAGATGTTTAAGCTCAGATTTGGAAGAAATCTGGAGTTCAGGAGAGTTTTCTTTGATAAGGGAAGGTGAGAGAGTAGAGAGAAATGAGAGGGAAGGTATTTTGGTTCTAAATGAAAGTTTATAGGACATAAGTTTTTTAAATACATTTCAAACTCGTGATCTCGCTATAGCGAGTAACTCTCACTATAGCAAGCATTTTTCGCTACAATGAAAAAATAAGACAAGAATTTTTCTCTGTTATTTGTCATTCTGGCTACAGCGAGAACCTCTCCCTCACTGCTTTTGAACAAAGACATTTTCTATTGCTCTTGCCTCTACTATTTGGTTATAACAAATTAGTTTATCCTCCGAGCGGTGAATAATTTGAGAAGGCATAATTGTTTTGGTATGATTTTAGTCCTATCATATCACCATGAGCTAGTTAGTATCTGCGTATAACATGAAGTACTAGCAAAATAATTTGGCCTTTTCTAGTCATTGAGTACCATGCAAACAAACTAATCGCTGCAATACGCAACACTATTCGGTGCATTGATGATTGATATCATGCAATTATAGCCTATTTTGTTGTAAAAATTTTAATTTCAGTTTACATTCTAAGAGTATTGAGTTTAATTTATACATTAAGTTTTCTGAGGTACATTCTCACGTATTTTTGGGGGAAAAAGATCTCATCCTGTTACATGAGGATCATGTTCTGTGTTTTTGTATTTTCGCTTAAGCGAAAATGCAAAAACATGGTAACATGACCCTCATATTCGCGTGCAAACATGAAAGGATCCTGGTCCCTTTTTGGGGTATAATAAGATTATTTTTTAGCCATCATTGCTCCAAGCCTTGGGATGCACCATTCACATCGGTCGGATACATTTAATCACAATTTACTTTGAAGTTAAAAATTCAATCATCATATTTTCTTATAAAATACATATTTCAACGTAAATATGTAGTTTACATGAATTTGGATGTACAGTTTTATAATAACTATTTCAACTAAATAAGTGCCTAGAAAAATATCATTTGATGTTAACCTACAGCTTATTTATCAATTTAGAATTTACACTCAATAACATAATTTAGATTTTACAATTATTATTCACAATTCATGATTATGTAAATATTATATTTGAATATTAATCCATCTTAGTTAACATTTATAAACTAGAGTTTAATTGATTTTTATTTTAAAAAATTATTTTTTATTAAAATTAACTTTTAAGTATAATTATTCATATTTTAAAACTTTTATCATAAAATCAATTCTATAGTAAAATCTAGTGTAAAATTTTAAACAAATTTTAATGTCTAAGAATACACAATAAAAAACATTCATAAACAATAAAACTATATTAAAAGTTTTAAATTTAATGTTATTAATGTATTGAATTATGTTATTTTTAATAAAAAAAAATTATAGATATTATTATGTTCTCTTAAGCACACAATGAAAAAAAAATCAAAAATCATATTTTTATTTTACTCAAACCATGCTTTCATCACAACCAAACATGATAATCAGACAAAATCCCGTTTTCATGACATAGACGTGGTCGGAGAGTTAAGATGGTCCCCCAAACACATTATCCATGCATAATTTTTTAACACCATCAGTGAATCATCAGCTGACACATTTATTTCTTTTAAAAATAATAATAATATACTCTTCAAAGCTCAGTAGTCATAACATAAACATTTAATAATGATGTGATTATTTGATCAAAATTAAATACATGTAAACATCAGAATTGAACATAATTTATCTAGATATTGACAAAATAGCTTGCCATTTTGATATAACATGAGGGAATAAGCTACCACTTCTTAACGAAATGTGCTTATTAGGAGGGAATTTAATTGACTTGAACTACTAATAAAGGTACTAAGGGTGTATGTACTTATTAATTAACGGTACAGTCACATCACATTGATGAAATTCATCCTGAAGAAGCAAAAGCTACAGTCTTGCATAACCATTACAGCTATAGATACGGGTGTCTTGGAAATTGATGCAACGAGAGAGTGCAGTTGCCAAATTCTCTAAATCTTCCCTTGTATGGACCGCACTCAAGGCCACACGCAGCCTAAATTATAGAGATGAAAGAAAAATAACAGATGTGCACATGAAACAATATGTGATCAAATAAAGGTAAATGAGTTTCAACTTTCAGATTGTAATTCCATAAATATTGGACATAAACCTGCATGAGTTAGGAGGCACAGTTGGCGGTCTGATTGCAGTCACATGGAAGCCAGACTGCAATAAATGCCTGCAGCAGAATCAATGTTTACTTTTGGTCAGCTTTCAGAGAGTTTTTGGAAAAAATGATTAGTTTCTTAGAATCAATGTTTCCCAGGCACAACGACAGGATGAGATAGAAAGTTGGGGGAGGGAAATTTACCGGCTTGCTTGAAGTGCTTTGTCTTCACTGCCTACGATTAGGGATATAATGTGACTTGTCACAGGGATTCCTGTGAGTACATAAAAGTCTTTCACCCGGTTCCAAATAGCCTTTCTACGCCAGGTCTCAAGTTTTGCCACTTCAACAGCAGCTGAAAATTGCATCATGTTTTTAACAAATAAGTAATATTCCTACAAGACATGGGTTGAAAGATGTATATTCAATCTCTGAACAAATATTCCAAGAAAGGTAAAAGACGGTCAATTTACCCATATGGGCATATCAAACAGTTCTTCCGTTGCATCAAATTGAAATTTTTGTTTTCTATTTTTAAAAACAGTTTTTTTTTTTTAGTAAAAATAATAAATTTGTTCGTTAACATAAGTTTTATTTTCATTTTTTAAAAATTGTTTTAAAACATAATTTTTAAAAATTAAAAATCAAAAGAGAAACATACAAGCCCTAAGTCTTATATAAATATCTCTTTTGTTCAGAAATATACATAATTGTATTGATTGCTCCATTTGAATTAAGATGGTCCGAATTTAACATTTTTCCGATTAAAATGAAATGATCTACAGCAGAGCAACACTGTGAATGCAATAGTCAGGTAAATAGCATTATTCCACTGAATTATTGGATGTATATTAGCAGTGAGAATGACAGATAAGAAATCAATCCCATATAAGGATATAACTTGATAAATTTAAGGGCGAAGGTAAGCAGTAAATACCTAGAAATAGGAACTAATAACAAATGCATAGAGTGCAAATGAAAATTTGTTTAAAATTCTGTCTTGGAAAGTCTCAATATTTGAATGTAACAAATCAAGTACAACACTAGAACGCACCATGAGCAGCAGCAGCGATTGGAACTGGGGCAGCAGTTGAAAATATAAATGAACGACCTCTTGACTGTATTAATAGCTTCCACCTTTTGCTGTAAAAATTCATAGAATAGCAGAAAAGCCATTGGTGGAATATTCAAGAAAAGCCTGGAATCAATTTCCCTTGCTGAAAATTTCAGGAGCAACAGCGCTAAAATAGTTACCTGCATGCTATAAATCCTCCATGGCAGCCAGCAGCTTTACTTAGTGTACCAATGCATATGTCCACATCCTTCTCACAATTGAACGTCTCAGCAACGCCACCGCCATTTTTGCCACAAACAAATGTTCCATGAGCCTAGATACACATGTAAAAGTTTAAAGTTGTACTAGACATTGTAGCAATGAGAAGCCATATTTTTCTTGTATCACATAAATATTCAATTAAGTAGCAATGTATGGTATGGTGAGTGGGTGATTCTATTTTAGGAACATTAATGCTATGCTATAGTTGTTTTATAATTATCTTAACCTTAGTCCAAGGATCAGAACCATTACCTAACAGCATATAATATAGTCTTTATGGAAAAAAAAGACATTTGCTAAAACATATTAAGAGGTCTTACATCATCAATGACTAACAAAAAGCCATGCTTCTTACGAAGCTCTGCAAGCTCAACCATTGGAGCATAGTCTCCATCCATGCTAAACAAGCTGCAATAAATCATTATCAACTAACTGCTGTCAACAGCAAGAATGAAAAACAACTTCCTCAATGAGAAATGCATGAAATCATAGGCAAATGATTCACTTATTCTTTATATACTCTTACAAATTTGTCAAGCCCAAAGATTGTGCAGGAATATAAGTACGAGAAATTTAGTGGGTTGTTGGTAACAAATAAAAATCATTTCAGGGAAAATAATCATTTTTTTAAAAGCTCTCTCAAAGCTGCAAGAAAAGCAATTATTTCTTCAAAATAAACTGAACCAAACACATATTCAATCATGCACACAACAAGAAGATATTGTTTAGGCCATGTGTCAAGCTAGTATATGAATATAATACTGTAGTTATTTTAAACCTTAAACAATTTCTACTTTTATTAGTAGCAGAATGACTAACCTGTCAGTCACAACAACTTTCTTCTTCATTCTGCAATGAGATCTGTTAAAATCATAGATGTTGCAACAATGTCAACATATTCAGAGGCTGTACCAGAAGGGAAAAAGAGGATAATATGCAACTTTCAGGAAAAGATAAAACCTACAACAGTGAATTGAGATGGGACATGTCACAATGTCTATATATGTACACCTTTACACTTTTTTGTCGCTCAGCAAGACGAATACCATCAATTATTGATGCATGGTTCAATGCATCAGAAAAGATAGCAATCTTTTCATCCTCTGAAGCTATGTTATTCCCAGCTAAGAGAGAACCAATACTTCCTATTGCTGTCATCAAGGCCATATTGGCTGCAAACCCTGTGGGACAAAGAAGGCAATCCTATAGGATGGATTTTAAACCAAAAGCGGGTCAGCATTTCATACAATCCAGACTTGTCATCACATTTGGGTCCTCTCCTCAATTTATTATACAACAGGTGGATATTAGAAGAATGTAACCCATAAGTTCCTTAGTATTAAAAAAGGTAGAGAAAGAAAATATAGGTAACTTCAGTGGGATTTATTTATACTTAGGAATTCATGAGTAGATTCAATCATGGCCCCACTGAAAACATAATTATAAATAATCAAAATTATTAAGAGAATATAGGTAAAAATTATTATCATTTTAACTTTAGGTTGGCCATATCAAGTATTTCCTAACAGTTGATTTGTCATTAGTCAGGGACACAAAATAAAACCATTTTTTCTCCATAGCCTTCACTCTTCACTAAGATCAAATAATGTTGAAACTAGGACAACAGACCAATGACAAGTATGCATCAAATTTTGGACTGAGCACCATTTCACAGTATTCAATTATACTAAACAATGGCATATGAATATGATTTTAGATTCTCAAGTTTAATCATTGCCATCAATTAATTATCCTTCATAGGGCCATAAGGCAGAACAGTTTAGGTAGTTCTTAAAGGCTAGTCCTTACCTCTTTCTTTTTCAAATCTGCCAGGCTTGACTCTAGCAGCCTATGATAATTGGTATATCCACAAATGAGAGCAGAGCCTCTTGGTCCCATACCATGCTCTTGGGCTGCCTAATTTATACCAATAAACACAATGAAAACGAGACTACCATTCAGAAAAAAGAGAGATGATAATAAAAAAAGCATTCATAATTCACCATCACACCTTTGCAGCAGCACTTCCAATAGTTGGATGGGAACTCAGGCCTAGATAATCATTTCCGGAAAACAAAATTAACTTTTTAAACTTCTCATTAGATGCCCCTGCTCTCTCATCGCCATGAACAATCTCGTCACCTAACACCCAAAGAAACAAAAAAGGTTGCAACTTTCATGTCAGTAATCAGAACGAAACATTCAATATATTTTAGAAAATAAAATGAACCAATTATGCAGAAGACAAGAATGTAGTGAATTTAAGGTCGTTTGATATACGATTTTTTTTTTTCACTATGATCACTACTTCTTCAAATCCATTTTAAAAGAGACTTTTAAAAATTATTAGTAGTCCTTAATATAAGAGGTAAGAGGCTGTAAATTTTTTAAATATTTATTATTATATCTCGCTCTTCACAAACGTTGAACACTTTTCATTTCTCAACACTTATAATAATCATAGAATGTGACCACTTTTCTTAACCTACGTAATTTAATTAAAAGGGTTTTATAAATAGAATTGGAGGAAGTAAATCTTATGTCTTATTTTAATTTTAAAAATGTTAAAATTCAAAATTAAATTAAAATAACATGACATGATAAGTAATACGCTAAATTAATTGTTAAAATTATAAATTAACAAAATTTGTAATTTTTGTCACTAAAATTATGAAATGGCAGTTATTTTAGCTTTTATTTTTGTAATTTCAGACTAAAATAACTGTTTGATAATTTCAATTTTAAGAACTAAAATCATATTTTTTGTAATCTTAAGAATTATTTTGACATAACTATTGTTGGTAGCTTCGCGACTACTGTGACGATTTACTTTGACAACCCTACAGCTACTAGTGAGGGTGCTTGTTATGGTGCTCCTAAATTTAAGAGTGAATTGAATACACTCTAAAATATACTAAAATATTAAAGAATATTTACGTCTTTTTTAAATATTATACTAACTCTATCACTAAATTATTATTTATGGGAGGGTATAGAATACTCTCTCATTTTCCATATCACCATAGAATTTACCATTAGTGAAATCATAAAACAAATTCATTAATCATTATTTTAAAACCAAAATGTCCGAAGAATAAAGGATACCAGAGCTCGGGGTGTCATGCATCCATCTACGAAACGTGGTTTCTGCAATTTCCACTTGCACAGAGTATCGGTCCCATTGCTGCATTTCATCGAACACTTCGAACGCGCCTTCATCTACCCCAAATTTGAGAGGCTCTGAGACGTTTTCAAGGGACACTGGGCTTTTCTTCTCGTTGCGGAGGCAAATGGGTCTAAGAGATCGAAGAACTTTGAGAGAGTGAAGAGCTGAAAGTGCCTCTCCGACCCAGTTGTCCCACCCTGAACTTTGCGCCTCCATTGTTGGCGCACACAACGGAAGCAAGCTGGTTTTGCTGCTTCGTCTAACAGGTACTATCACATGGGAATGGAAGGTGAGGAAATAAAAACGATTTTGGCAACCGCTATAATATTTTTACAACAAATTTTATTCTATCTTCCTAGATTACGGCTCTTAAAGTTTTTACGAAATAATATAAAAAAAATAAAAAATTACATAGCAAATTTATTTACGGAACTAAACCCTTTACTGTAGCACATTTACTGTATCAGCAATTGGGTAGCCAGAATTCAATTCCTCAAAACCAAATTCTGGACGTTAACTTTTTTTTCTTTTTAAATTTATTTTAATATTTTTATATAATAAAATAAATTTTATTATTTAAATTAGATTTATATTTTATTATGTGAAAATAAATAAAAATAAAAATAATATTTATTTTATATGTTAATTAAAATTTATTTTACATAATTATGATAATAAATAATTTTTTTATCTTTTTATTATATTATTTAATATAATTTTGATTTTTTTAAAATAATATTAATATTATATTCTGAAATTATATTTTTGGTTATTTAATATTAAACTTTTAAAAAAAAATTACAATAATAATTTATTTAATTTTATATTTTTATAAAATAAATAAAAGTATTAAATAATAATTTTATTTATTTAATTTGAGATATTAATTTTTATTAAAATTTATATATAATTATTTATTTAAAAAATATGCTATTAATATTAATAAACATTATTAAATAATATTATGTAGATATATATATATATTTAATATAAATTACCAATACTAAAAATTTATAAGTTGAAATAACATTTATAAAATTAAAAATTACATGAAGAAAATTTTAAAGTAATAACAACAACATAAATTAATAGCAGAAAGTAGAAGTTTGAGCGATGTTTGGACATATCTTCCTTGTGTGACTAGGGTGTGACAATAAGAATAATTTTTTGCTCGACTTTGTTGTTCTTTAAATATTACGTCATAAGCAAACATAATTAACACGAGACATTTGTTTACAATAACATCGAAGAATTTATTTTTTTTTTACGAACTTATTTAGAGTTAATTTTACAACTCCATCTTCAGCACAAACTTACATGCAGTCTCTTTATCAACCAGATTTTTCTAATGAACCTAGTAATTCATCAAATGCATTCCAACAACTAGACCTTCGTGATGATCAAAATTCTCCACAAGTTCATCCTGAAATTCTAGAGCAACAAACACAACAACAAAACCCACCATGTAACAAACGTCACCCTCATTGTGAAACCAGCCACCATTACGGAGATAGTTAATTATTAATGTTGTTATGAATTTGTTATCACTTTGTTAATGCACTTTGTCTTCATCAATATTACTAATATGAAACCGTTAATTTTAAAATATTTATCTCAAATATAAATAATTAACTTATAATTTAATGTTTTATTTACTTTTTAAAAATAAATTTTTTATTCTCAAATAAAATTTATTAAAAATTATAATAGTAAAATTTTCGGGTTTAGGGTATTAAAAATTATAATATTAAATAATGTCATTTTAAAAAAACTAATTTATTTAAAATAAAATTTTTATTCAAAATTTCATTTTATCATACTAATATTTAAAAATATTAAGTCAAAATTACATATTTAAATAAATAAATAAACAGAATAATATTTAATATTTTTATTTAATTTTTAAAAATATAATTATTATTCTTTAAGTATAAAAAATTTAAGCATTAACATTATTATCTAAAATAATATACTTATTATTTAAATATTTTAATTAATTTTTAAAAATATTATTATTATTATTTTCTAAAAATATTATTTATTATCATAATTATGTAAAATAAATTTTAGTAAACATGTAAAATAAATATTATTTTTATTTTTATTTATTTTCACATAACAAAATATAAATATATAAATATAATTTAAATAATAAAATTTATTTTATTATATAAAAATATTAAAATAAATTTGAAAAGAAAAAACAATCAACGTCCATAATTTGATTTCTAGAAAATCGAATTCTAGCTACCCAATTACTGATACAGTGAATAGGTTTAGGTCCGTAAATAAATTTGCTCTTAGTTCTTTCATGTAATTTTTTTTTATATATTATTTCTGTAAAAACTTCTACGACTTTTCTTACGACAATAAAATAAAATTATGTAAATATCTTATTTTTAAAAGAAAGAAGTCAATTTATTCATGTAAAAGTTGAATTGAATTAATTTTGACTATAGTTTTTGTTGTGTATAACTGAATTTTAATACTTTGATTCAAGGAAATAAGTCCACTTAAATTAACTTTAACGGAAGGGTGGAAATCACCTGAATCAACTTTGAAAGGCTTTAAAATTCAATTTTAATCAATTTATGTATGTCTATGTGTCTGTTTTCATGGCTAACTTAAAAGAAAAAAAGAAAAAAAAAAACTCTTCTCAAAATAATTCCTTGAGATAAAGAAAGAAAAAAAAGTTTATATTATTGTAATAAATATGAATAATGATCTAAATCGATTTAATTATATTAGAAGTAAGTGTGATATAAGTAAATGTTTAAAAATATTATTTAATTTTATCTGAATTCTTTTTAATTTAAGTGTAATTAAAAAGAACTGTAAAAATTACTTTAATTATTGCATATTTAATTATTTGTTTGGTATATATTTATCTTGGTAATGTATTATATGATATATATTGTATATATAACACATAATGTCTCTTACGTATTAAATCAATTATTGGTTAAAAAAATTGTTAGTGTATTTTATATTAGAAAATAAACTAAATAATTATTAGGCAAGTAAATATTTAGATTAAAATTTGATGAATTAGAATAAATTTAAATTTAATGAGTGTTAAATATATTTCAAGAATTTTAACTATTAATTTCTATTGTAGTAATTTGTTTATTTATTTTAATAGACTTTATACATTAAGATAATCTTTATTAAATTATACTATTTGTTAAATTTATTTTGTGTGGTAGTTAATTTCAGTATAATTTTGTTGTAACGTTTATATATGATATCATATTGTATTTGAACAACTAGTAAACAATATTTTGATATTTTCTTTTAGTTTTGGTGAACAATACATAATATATAAATTGTTTGTTATCTTATACAAATTTTGAATTTTAAAAAGTAGACGGTGTAATATGATGATTGCTTCATATCTAAGGATGGAACAATTTCTTAGGCAGACTGATTTTTGGTATGTTGCGCAGATGATGCCTATATTGAATTATGATAGGACACTCATTAATGTACTTGTGGAGCATTAGAGGCCTTATCTACACACATTCCATCTTTCATACAGAGAATGTACGATAACTTTGGAAGATGTTGTATTTCAACTAGACTTGCGTGTAGATAGGTTCCCTGTGAGTAGGTGTATTAGAGGGGTGAGAGAAATTTTATGATCGAGATATATGGGATTGTGTGGAGATTTATTGGGAGTAGTTCTAGATGAGACAAACATAAAAGGATTCTTCGTAACTCTACACTAGTTCATAGATATATTTAGAGCATTACCCGACATTATTGATAAGCAGATTATTATTCTTTAAACCAGAGCGTACATAATAGTTTTATTGGGTGGAGTATTATTCCTAGATTAATCTGGATTTAGGGTTCATATGAAGTAGTTCTATGATCCTTTTATTGTGAGCTTTGTCATGTGATAAAATATAATGTCACTGAGATTGCGAGTTGTTTACCTCTTCTACGGTTTTGTGCATGGTACAAAGTACCTCAATTGGCTCCTAAACATCATCATTCACTCACTTTTTCACTAACATTGAGGTATATTTATTTGTTATTTTTTTAAAAAAATATTTATATATGTTAAATTTACAAGTATGAAGTTTAATTATGTTCATTTTAGATAGAAAAGTTTTAGGTCATTGACGAGATCATACATGGATAAGTTGTTGTCATATAGGAGGATCACTGATTCAATTGGCATTAATGGGGTAAGTAAAAATATGATATATGGTACTAACTCTTGTATTGAATTATATAATTTATCTGTCTAATAAATGAGGTGAGGAATGTTACACCTCTTTTTGCTTATGATGAGGTCGATGTATGGACATTTGTGACTGCTCTTATCCAGTTTGCTATGATTAAGTGATACCTTATTGATCGCGTGGTTTCACGATTTGGTAGAGCACAATACATACAAATCGTCCCTATAAACATCGATCAGTTGCACACTAAGGATGGAAGGAGTGATCTAGATATATGGTGGCTTGAGTATCATGTGACATGGCGTGTTACATGGGAGGCACGTAGAAAGTGAAAAGTTCAGTATCCACTAACTGATGATGATCGTCCCTCTATTGAGTATTTCTAGTGGTACTTGTCATTAAATAATAGATTTTTATTGTTGGATGGAGCCCTACAGAATCCAAAGCTTAGAGATTTGTTTGATGGTATAGCACCTTATGCCCCTAGCATTAGACATAGCTCACTTTGCTGACATCCTAGATAGATTATCTTTCAGGCGTTGTTTGCATACTGATACATGTGCTAGCAGACGCCAATATCCGGATAAGGCACGTGATGATGATGATGACCATGTATAACCTGATGCAAATCCCAACCTACAACCTCAAGCACAACATAGCCACTAAACTAAGCCTCAATCACACCATGTATACTAGCCGACACCCATGTACCCTAACCAATACTTCATGTCAACACCTAGCCAGCATTTCATGTCAGGATATAAGCTACCAATAATACATGGTTGGTCCTTCTCAGCACCAATTCATGGGGGCCCTAGCCAACCATGTATGACCCTAAGCCAGCAATTTATGGCAAGCCCTAGTCATAAATTCATGTCAGATTCTTTTGTTACTCCTAGTCCAACACAACAATTCATCACAGGTTTGGGCCAGAGTGATATTGCACGACATATATCTTTTAGTCTATCTTTCATGTCAGATGTTGAAGTTATGGCATGGCTACATTCATTTGGTACACATGCACCTATACAAGAGGTTCAACTACCAGATCATTTTTATTGACTATCACCAACGCATATTTGAACTCTCTCTTTTCAAGGCTTACGTCAGGAGGAGGAAGATAATGAACTAGATGACCAGGATAAAGA